TACTCAGCACTGGTAAGGCCACACCTTGAGTACTGTGTCCAGTTCTGGGCCCCTCAGTTCAGGAAGGATATTGAGGTGCTGGAGCAGGTCCAGAGGAGAGCAACAAGGCTGGTGAAGGGACTGGAGCACAAGTCCTATGAGGAGAGGCTAAGGGAGCTGGGGCTGTTCAGCCTGGAGAAGAGGAGGCTCAGGGGAGACCTCATTACTCTCTACAACTACTTGAAAGGAGGCTGTAGCCAGGTGGGTGTTGGTCTCTTTTCCCAGGCAACTATCAGCAAGACAAGAGGGCATGGTCTGAAGTTGTGCCAGGGGAGGTTTAGTTTAGATATTAGAAAGAATTTCTTTACAGAGAAGGTAATCAGACATCGGAATGGGCTGCTCAGGGAAGTGGTGGATTCTCTGTCCCTGGAGGTTTTTAAGAAGAGACTGGATGTGGCACTTATTGCCATGGTCTAGCAACCGCAGTGGTGTTGGATCAACGGTTGGACTTGATGATCTCGGAAGTCTTTTCCAACCCAGTTGATTCTATGATTCTGTGAAATACAGATACTCATAAATTATACCTGTATGAGCCTTTCCCTTTTCTCTACTGAAGAGCTCCAGCTTTTGGAAACTCTTGCTGTAAGACATTTTCTAGTCCTCAGTCATTCAGTGAACTCTCTTCTGAATCGTCTACTCTTGACGTGTACATGTGAGGCCAGGACACTTTTAAACGGAGACCAGTTAGAGACTTTGTCCATAGCATCTAGAGTTCCCAGATTCATACACACAAGGATTCCTCTAGCCCTTTAGTTGAAGCAAACATTTTCTCCTGTTGGGTTATCTGCCCTGGCCTCCCAGCAGAGTCACTGCTTCTGAGGACTCCACTAACCTGTGAGGACAACCTGAAAGATTTGTCCTCCAATGAATGACTTTACTTTTGGCTGTACTGAAACTCGTATCAAAAATTTGTTGCTTAGGTGCAGTTTGCCAAACATGTCACATTCTCCTTCTCCGGGACATGACTTCTTCATTATTGACTGCTCCATCATTTCATGTGACTTTGGGTCTGTCCCTGCTCACTGAGCTATCCAAGTGCTTCACATCAGATAAAATACAAAAGAGGAATAGAAACAAAGAGCCTTCTGTCCCACCTGTGCTCCTGAACCACAAGGCTGAATCACATTTCTTAGACTTACTTTAATTTTGTCTGCCTAGTAGAGATAACATAGAGCTATGGAGGAGGACCTCTATCTCATCTCTCCTAATTAATGAGCAAGTGCCAAATTTGCTGGGTGTGCCTAGCTATACCAGTGGCCTGTAAGCTAATGTCAGCCCAGGTGACATTGTCATCTATCTCCTTGTTCCTGGAAGAGATGGGGAGTATCACTAGAACTATTCCTGTAGGGAACCTTTCTAAATAACCACAAGAAACCTCCTCATCCTGCTGTAACATAGACTACAGAGCAACCTCCACCCCCATCTCCCCAGACCCATGATGCAGCAGTGCAGGAGCCTTGTTTGGTGCCCCGTGACAGATGAGGGTGGAGATAGCTCTTTGCTTTAGGGCATGCTGTCTGCTCCTGTGGCTTGTGCCACCAGTATTAGGTCCCAAAGCTGATAAAAGCAAATTGCTGGTTATTTTAGAATGTTGGACTCCCCCACAATTCACAGGACCCTATCTTTGATGTTCTGCATGAAATTCAATGCCGAGGTGTATTCAGAGTGCATCGACTAGACTGAGCCCTTTGTGAGACTTTGGTATTGTGTTTCCTAGTCTGTGGATGCCACTCAGCTGTGGGCATGAAGTAGGTACCGATAGCTCAGTATGTGTGACATGGTGGTGAGTGTAGGCTGCACAGAAGCCCAGGAATGCTGAGGTTTGATAGTGAGGTACCACATGTGTTTGGAAAACATCAGGTTGCAAGTGCCTCAAATAGTCTGAGCATCCCTCCTCCTTTTTTCCCCCCTCTAGACACCAGTTTCCTTTACTGGATCTAGCCATAGTGATTTTGACTGCAGCCCTCATGTATTGTTTCCATCCGCACTGAGGTTTTACTTCTTCAGTTTTTCCACCATCCATTCCTCTTCAGCCTCTTTCCATCACTGCAACCTTTTCCCTCAGAGACGTCCTACTATTTCAGATCTTTGCCAAATTTAACTGGTCATTAACACAATGAGCCAGGTTCTGATCTCATTTACTTCTGCAACCTTAATAGAATTTCTCTGGACTTGTACTAATGCATATTAGAACAGATCCTCTTCCATTTAATTTACCCTACTGCATATTTGCTAAGTGCTAACTGTGTATTTGGCTCAGTACAGAATGCAGACAAAAAGACTGATGCATAATAGAGAGCTGTTACCTTCCAGATGCTGCTGCCTGGGCCATTTGCACGGAGCACTGTAGCCATGGCAGTGTCTACTCCCACAGTGCTCCTGCACCAGCTCCAAAATTACTGAGATGATTTTTTCTTTAAGTACCCTGCTGACTTCTAGGTGCCTTACTGACTTGCGTGTAATAAGATTTAAATGTCAACATGATGTTAATATTTAACAATTATCCACAGAAGCTTCTCACACGTTTTCCTTTGAAGATACAAAGAAGCTCAACCTGTTTCTAAAGTCCTGTCATCAGTTTGAAGCAGAATCAGGTAATATGTTGGACCATTATCAGTTACTGTCACCTGCAGTAGCCCGTGGCACAGGATTGCCCTAAAATATGCTTTCCCTGGGAGCCTTCCAGATTTCTCCAATTGCAATCTCCTCACAAGCCAGAGAGTGCTTGTATTGTGTAAAACAAGAAATAGAAAAACAAAAACTAAGTGGATAAGAAATAGCCCAAGTGACTTAATTTCTCTTTTAATTCCAAAAATACACCAGGCTCCTGATAATTTCCCACATAGAGCTCCTTTCTCTGCAGCACAAAGAGGATATATTTTAAACAGTACTGTTAATGGAATTATATGTTGCTACTGGATAATGGTCTGCTGTGGAGAGATAATTGTTGAGACAAAGCTGAGGTATTTATTGAGATAAACATTGAGGCAAAGCCAAGATGTTTATTTTCTAAGCACCAGACCTTAATGCAGACAAAACATATAATATCATTAGCATTATTCCTAATGTGTTGGCAGTCTGAACATGCCCCACCACAAACTCTTGTTAAATCAGTGGTGTCAGAATTGGCCTTCAAATGAGAAATGCATCCAGGCCGATCCAAGTGCCAATGCCAGAGGGCAGCTCTGTTGACCTTATCAGGGGCAATGCCCAAGTGTTGCCCCTCTTGGCTGGTATCTGCCCTTTTGTAGCCCAGGGACATGGCAGAAGTACTTTCTGCAGACCTGGCTGCTCACAGATGAAGCATCAAAAATAATAGACTTCTTCGTTGTTGGTTCAATGAAAAACTAAACTAAAACATTTGCTGATTCTCCAGCTTTGTTTGAGGCAATAAAACCATGGGAGGTATGACCAGCCTGTCACCAGATCGTTATTTTACAGTTTTTAAACCAAATTTTACAGATACCTTTGAATAATTCATGCATGTTTGTCTCAGCATAGGTGAAGTACAGGCCCATAAAAGCACATGGGCAGCCTCAAGCAGAAGCAAGGCCATGTGGTAAGAGAGAAGGACAGACTCTGTGATACACTCGGGTGGTGTGTGCAGCTGTCCTTGCATGTTTGTGTGTGGTGGGACTCCACAGTGACCTGCTGCATCTCACTTTCTGACTGTTTTGCGGGTTTCCTTCAGTAAACCATGAACCGAGGGAGATGGTGATGTGCAGGGCTTGCCCTAATGCACCCTCAGGATGCAGCCAGGTGACCCCTCAGGACTGACATGGAGGGGTTTGCCAGACCAGCCCTGTGGGGTATGTCCAACCTTACTGGGAGCTATGAATTCATCCTAATTGTTTTCAAAGCTCTTTACAATGTTTGCATATAAAAAGTTGGCAATCACAGAAATGCCAAGGGAACATAATGTGATTCATGCCTTTACAAGTGCTATGAGGTAAGTTGACCTGATTACAGAAGAGTGTATTTCTAGCTTTTCCCTTAGTTTTGGCAGACTCCCACAAGAGTTATAATTTTGATTTTAGTTCTTCCCTGAAGAAGTCAGATATGACAGGTAGATATTAATTATTATTATTATTATTATTATTATTACTTGTGTTTGATAATGTTAAAAGTCTCCAACGAGATCAGCTATAGTCACTATATGCTCATATACACAACAACTGTCTTAGAGTAGCTACAGTTGTAAAAGGAAACTGGGTGGAGTGATATGATGTACAAGCAAAAACCTTGAGAGTTACAAGTGTGAGGTTATTCTTATGATTTTGTCATTAAACTACTTCTGTAACTATTTATATATTGAAAGAACAAATTCACAGGAAATATAGCACAAAAATAAAAGTCATATGGGAATTTCTGGTAGTTACCTGAGTTTCAGACCTTATGACTGCTTGTACTGTGTTATCTCCCAAGTCATCTGTGCCTGTCATGCATTTGACAATACATGTTTTGTCAAGTCAAACAGGCTTCCTTAGAAAGAAAGAGGTGACATTATTATTGCCCAAGTAGGATTCTCTGTGTTTAATGCTGAGGTAGTCAAAGCTCTTTAAGGATCTTACAAAACATGATTCACATGATGTTTTTCAGAAATTAGTATTAACTTTTTTATATGAGTAAAAGCATTTACAAATGAAGACACAAAGCCAAGTTGGTTTGCTTTTGAGAAATCTCAGGATTGTTTTGCTGTCAACTGCATCAATGAATTCCAGTAGATCTGAAAAGGAAAACTGTAATTACTGGATTACTTTTTGCTATAATATTCAATATTATGGTAATGAGGGATGAATTAAACATGGTATTGGACTGAGGAACCCCTGCCTTCTAGACTCAAATTCATAGAGCATTTAATTGGGTATTTAGCAGAAGGCATGTTGGATATGTATTAGGGCACTTAAATTGTCTGACAACATACTGTCTAATCCTTTCAGCTTCCATACCCCAAAAAGTAGATGTGAGTCTTGCCCTCTACTCCTGAGCTGCATAGATGGGAAAAACAAGAGTAAAACCAGTTGTCATTTTGGTGTGACCAATGCACTGTAATATAAATTGTTTTGATCTGTCAGTGTTATAAAAGCTGTGCTTCGAGCAGGACAAAAGCGAAGATAACTTTTTCAGTCCTTCCTCAGACAACACTGATTTTTCTCATGGATAGCTGAAGATGGTGAACAGCAGAAATAACACACTAGCTGGAAGTCTCTAGAAGCACTTTTCTCTTTCAAAAGTTTGTAGAGTTAAAGGATATTTGCTTACACTCATTAGCCTCTGTTCACATATACACCCTGATCTTCCACTCAGCCTCCACAATGTGCTTTGCAGCGGTGGTGGGTGTACATGCTGTGATGTGCCCAACAGCCACCCCGCGGGGGTGGGCCTTCCACAGCAGTCTCTTTTGGTGGGATACCAGCCAGCACATTTCTTTTTATTATTGTTAGAAATACAAGGTCAAATGCAGTTGGAATGAAGTCCTGTGGTTTGTGGTGGTCTTCGGCTTATGGGAAAGTTCATTCCACAGATTCAGAGCTCTAAAAAAGTTCTTACTACAGCCCAAAACAATTTTTCCTTACCATAGTGATTTCTGTATCTCAGAGGACTGTGTCTGAGAGAGCTGAGGCTGATCATAGTCTTCACTTTGCAACTTTCTGTGGTTTTTTGTAGTGGCCATGAAGAGTCTCAAAGGTAAAAAACCTCAACTATGCTTGAAATGCCATGACTGACCGGGGCAGAGAGTAGGGGACAGGTCAGATTAATTCATAGCCACCTGTGTTCTTTTACAATCTGCTGTAATATCTGGACTTTGGTATCATGACATGTGGGGTGAAGATCGCCTTCCCAAATCTTAGTCATGGAGGATGTCAGGTGGAGTTTTTCCATAGGGAGAGAGTTTGGCAAACGCTCCCTGCAGAAGCTGCTCTGTGTGAATATTGTCAGTCAGGAGTTCAGAGCTGCTACCAGATTAAAGACTGACTTTAGCCGATAGTGCATTTGTACTGTGCTGCACAGGGGATACAAACTCTTCAAAAAACATTTTCCTCCATTTATCAGAAACTTCTCTTTTACTGCAAGTGAACTTCAGTTCACATAGTTCACACAGACATCTGTTCTCATACACACAGAGACTCCTGATGTCAGAGCTGAGGTCAATAGGCATTTTGATGGTGATTTTAATAAGTGTGTGCTCTAGTACCCTTTGCATATGTATTGGGATGCTTCTTCATCAAGACATGAATACAATGTTTTCTGGGTTTGAAAAAAGTGTATTAATTATGTCAAACACTGAGCCCAGCCCAAACATCAAAAGGACTTGTAGGTGCTGACCTTCCCACCGGAGGTTTGCTTGACGAAACCAGTGGTCTGTGCTGTATTATACATGACCATTTCTTTGTCCATAACTTCTGCTGGTTTGCATAGATGTAACAGACCTGAAATCATTATGGTTCCCATAATTCTTCCACACATTCCTAATTACAAAATGTATGCTTCTATTAAAAAAAACACAATTCATACTAGAGTTGTTTTCATTATTTGCATATTTTGCTCTGGTGATCATAGAATGAGGAAGATGCTTGAGTTCAAGAAGTGGGAATGGAAAGAAGAACAGATTAGAAGTTACAAGAGTTGAAGGAAATTCTGTCACATCTTTGTCTTTGAGCAGAAGGTAAATCATTAATATTTACTAGAAGAATTCATAAGAGATTTGAATGAACTTTCACAGTCTTGACAATATCACTATTTACCAAGCTTAGGGGCAGTCCCCATTTCTATTAAATTTATGTCTACTGACAGCAGTGTCTGTGTTTCTCACTTACCTGTTGTGAAAATTTGGGCCACAGAAGTTTTTGCTCTGTGTCTCTTAGCGGTTTGAAAAATCACAGAATTAAACACTTAACAAAAATGACTCCAAAAGGACTCCGACTTGTGGAAAGGTCTCAGGACTCCCCTCCACCTCATATTTGAGCCCATTTTCCTGAGTTGCTGCTCAAGCTCTGAAGGCAATAGGAGGCTGAAATGAAGGGACTGTCTCTTTTTAGAAAATGCAATGTATTGTAAACAGTGCTCTGGATTGTTGACACTTTTAAGCACTATTGGGTGCAATGATTTGGACCCATTTGTCTCTCTTTAAATGAAATTATTGGTAGATTAGCTGGTGAATTATTCTAAGCAACATCAATTTGTGAAAATGACAACATTCCAGAAGGGTTATTTAAAATGTAGTGTATTGTGTAATTCTTTTTATTTGTCTGTTGCACAATCTATTTGCTGATACTTGTTTCTCTCCCTCCCTCTCTCTCCCCTAGGCTATCAAACAAAGCTGCCCAACCTTACACTCATCCATCATCCTTGAGTTATTAAGAAAATAGCTGCAGAACATTTACAAGTGGATGGGATGGATTGCTGGCTGCTTTTCAAGAACACAGTCAATGCTACAAAAACTTTGCAAGATGGCAAATGTTCTCATGTTTCCTGTTCCTTGCTCTGCTACGACCTGCTAGAAGGAATGGTTTCTTGAATTTTGGGGTGACTAATCTAGGTTGATGCTAAAACTGTTAATCGTTTGTGTCTAATACCAGAGTATAATTTTATCTGAGTAAAATACTTATTTTTTTGGTAACTTTTTCTTCAAAAGGCTTTGGGATACATTGGAGGCAAGGAAGGGGTCAGAATAAGTGCAGATATCTGAGGGCTAGTGTTATATGCCTTTCTCAAGGTTAGGCTTAAAAAAATCAATGCATGAAAGTAGAGGTTAAGAGATTGCAAGTGTCTCAGATGAGAAGTGTAACAAAATGAAGGTAAAATAGATCAGAACTGCATGACTTTTTCTCAGTGATTAAAAGAGAGAGGTTGGAATGGAGTGGAGTTGCCATGTAATAATCTAAGAATCTGATCAGCAATTTAGGGTGTGCACAAAGACATCTATGCTCCTGCAGTATTATTTACTCCCACAGCTTGAAATGCTGGGAAACAGTGCAGAGGTTCCATGCAGACCTGCACTGAACCAGACATGGTGTAGCCCTGAGTGCTGTGCCAGCTGAACATGATTATTCTGCCTTGCAGTCCTGCTTGGCATATCCACACGGTACTTTGCTGTGCTGTGTGACTTGCCAAATCAGCTCAGTGCTAGCTTGGGGATCTCTGCATTATGTTCTCTGCAATTTAAATGTACCCTTGGAAATTAAGCTTATTTGTTTGACTTCTAGAGGGGTAGGAGGTTGCTTCCTAACTAGCCAGCATTGCTCTAATTAGGTAGGACTATCAGAAGACCAAAACATGTCAGTTGTACAGCGACTTTACATACAACAATGTCTTGGCAATCACTGAGACACTGCTCCATTTGAGCATCCTATATGCTGCTCAGTGAAAAGCTCTAGGTTCTTCTTTGCTGGTTTAGATACTTACAAATCCAGAGATCAGCAAACAGTCAAGAATTTGTTCCCAAGGGGAAGCAGTCAGCTGTCTGGAGCTGCCACTGGGCACAGAACAAAGTGGGGAGAGGTTCTGGAGTCCAGAGGAGCAGCCATCAGTCAGCCTTAGTGGGAGGCAGAGAGATAAACTGATATAGATAGCTCTTTTGTTGTGGAGCCTTTTTCTCTGCCTTGCCTTTGTTCTGAGTAACCAGGCTCTGCCTTAGCAAGGCTGTTTGCTAATGGACACCACTATGCTCGTGGAGGCAGAAGAACTGAGAATGAGTCAGGACCATGAGATAATCCTGGCTGACCGCAGTGAACTGGAGCCTGGGAGAGTCATGGGGCTCTGTGGCAGGAGACATGGAAACTGGGAGCCTGGCACTATGAGAGGGAGCACCTGATGGGATCAGGAATGTAATTTACACAGTTATAATGACAAAATTTATGAACTTGCATTTTTAAATTCTTCTTTTTTGTGCCAGTTCAGAAATTGGCTACAAAGTTTTGTTTATAGTCAGCAGTAAATTTGGCGTGTCAGAGAGCATTTAGTATCAGGAAAAGTAGCAGTTACACTACTAAAACATGACTAATTTTCAGCAGCTCCACACTGTGAGTTGCCACTCAGTAACAACACTGCTTGGTGACTCCACCCTGCTTGTACAGCAATTAGCTGGCTTTACCACTCCATGTTGTGAAGGACCTCAGCAAACACAGCACAGAGTAGTGTTAAGGGAGTATTTACCGAAGTTGTTGTTTGTGAAGAAATATCACAAATTGAGCCACAATTACATGAAACACAAAGGATAAATTTCAGTGATAAATTCTTCTACTCAAGAGGGAAGCTGAATGAAAAGCAATGGTTCCCCCCTGTAGCTGTACTCTTCTCCCCGCTTTTGTCATTTTGTTTCATATCTTCCCTCTGACTTTTCTTCCTACTGTATGTTGCTGTGATGAACATCACACCTGATACCACCCAGCCTTAGCAACCCTCTGCTTTGCCTTCTGGCTCTCCTCCCTGTCTTCCTCTCAGTGACTTGTATTTTCATTCAGAGATTCCCTCTCATTAATTAAGTTTCCTGCTGCTCCCCCTCCTTCCTGATGTGGCATTCAACCCTAGCTCAACACTTTTAACAAAATCCCTGGTTATCAACCTGATATTTATCAAGCATATTTATCTTCCTCTTGTTTAAGTCTCCTCCAGCACTGGGCTTATCCTTTGCTTCATTATTTGGTTCTTCCATTACTCCCAGGCCATAAATTCCCTCAAAGCTTTCTTTGTTGTTGATCTACCTCTTAAACTCTCTTTGAACTTCTGTGTTGCACCAACACCCTGAGTGCTGGCTATAACCCTGACTACAGTCTGAAGAACAATGTGTCCACAAGAAGCACTGAATGTTCATGCAAGTTCACTCTGATTTTGGAGACAGTTTCCAGTCTCCTGCTGGCACATCTGATGCAAAGGAAAGTCAAGTACTAGTTGTCTACTTTCAAATCTCTCTTCTACATGTTATTTTGGTTCATCCCTAAGCAAAACAATCCTGCCTTTTTCCTTACAATACTTAGGAAGTAAACCTATGTTATATATCGATTATTCTGCTCACACTTTGATTCCTAGGGCAAATGATCTGCCCAGGCAGTCCAAGAAAAATTCCCTCCATTTAACCCTCCTGTGTTAGCACCAACCCAGGGACCAGCTTCTTAGACCTCATTTCTTTCTACTCTTCCCTTGTCAGCTTCTTTGTCAGCCAGCTTCATGCTATTGTGTCCCACACTGCAACCAATGGCAAGCTCCATGTTAAAGTTTATAAAACCGCTGTCTTGCAAATAATTCCTTGTGCTTCTCCCTTTGCTGTCATTACCTCAAAAGCAGTTCCATGTACCAGTGCCTAGAAAGGCAGTGAGCTTATTCTTTTCAGGACAAGCCATGCCAGGCCAGAAGAGAGCAGCACATTTTGTTTTGTCTTTTGAAATTCTTAGTATATTAAAAGGATCTCATTCTGATGCTATTTTCTCCTATTTTCAAATATTTATTTGCATTCCCACTGTCCCCATAGTTTTTCTCATTTTTCCCTTCCCTATGAGGTCCAGAGACATTATTATTGCATCCCATATGAGCCAAATTATGCCAACAGCCAGGAGGTGTGGTGGAGGCTAACTTGGGTCACACAATTTCACTCATTTATCTAGGTCATCCAGTCCTTAGTTATTTCAGGTAATGAGTTCAAGATAAATCTTAAGCCATTAAGACAACAATATTACTTGATTCTGGGTTGTATTTTCTGTGAACAGAATTCCTAGGAGAATTGATTTCCATTGATTTCCAAGGTGATATGAGTGTGTTTTGGTTTTTTTTCATTGTCTCATAGACTAGAGAAGTCCCTTTCCATGTGAAATCAGGAATGTTTGCAAGAATTTCCTACAGATTGACCACTGACATGAAATAAATGCATCAGGCCTCTGTAAGAAACAGCGTAGACCATTACTGAAAGCAAAAACTCTCAGCTGACATGTTGGCTGGAATTAAAAATCCTGTTGTGTGAAAACAAATTTCTTATTCTCTTTCTTCCTCCCTTGTTTTTAAGGTGAATTTAACTGTATTAGAGGGAGAAAAACTGAGAACATGATGCAAGAATGACCCGGTACTTTTTCTGAGAGTGCAAAACCCATCTTGCTATGTGTTGTTGGAGGACACAATCCATCCTCAACCGGTTGGTTTATACAGGGCACCAGCAGAGCTGTAAGCTCACAATGGCTCGTTGTCACTATCAAAATAAGCACATTAGAATCACAAACACTTAAGCATAAACACATAAATCTTGATTTGCCATGTCAGTCCCTTGAAGTGCCTGGTGCTGGCAGAACAGGTCTTTTAAAACTGAAGGCCAGCTGCTCAGCTAGTATAAATCAGCATAGGATGTCGTGAAGTGGAAAAACATTGGTGCAGCTTAAAGGTTGTTTTAAAGAAATCAGTGAGTAACTACATGTTTAACATGACCACTGGGATGTGTATAAAACAATATTCTAAGTTGCAGAAAAGAAGATTTAAATTATATATGAAAAAAGGAATATCTAGTGGCTAGGCACCAGGCAGGCTGTGTTTTAAATCTCCTTCACTGGAGGTTTGTAGGAACTGATTAGACCAACATCTGTCACACATGGATGGATTCTGCTCCATTGGTAAGGCTGAACTGCATGTGCTCTGGAGATCTCTTCAGTGTTTGCACAGCATGAAAAAATGGACTTCAGTGTTGAAACAATTATGGGATTAGCAAAAAACACCTTGGCACCTTGCTTCCTGTTCAAGATGGGCCAGAAGATTCTCATATTGGTTCAGTCCCATCACTGTTAACCTCTGTGTTATTTAGCCAAAGTTTTTCAGCCTGCACTTGATTTCTGAGCACAGCTAAGAGAGGAGACATGCAGTGCATGTAAATCATTCTAGCAAATTCACTGGCAAATATTAAATCAACCCAGTAAAATTTTAATATTCCTATATAGCTATAACTGCTATTTAACTTTGTAGTTAACTGTATTATATAAGTATCTAGTTATTACTGTATAGCTATAAAAATATAGTTATAAAATTGTATGCAGTAGTTACTTATTAAGTAGCTATAACAGCTATGCTGTTTTGGTTTTTTGTTTTGTTTTTATGGGGGTTTTTGTTAGTTTGTTGTTGTTGTTTGTTTTTTGTGGGTTTTTTTCCACAAAAAAATACAGAGTCAAAGGAATGTAAAAACTTCCAATTGCTTCAATGGAAAATATGGCAGAATTAAAGGGAGGTTATTAGTGTATTTTGACAATTAATGGTAGGCACAGCAGAGCCATAGTGGTGATATATAACTGGAATTCACAGTGTACACTTTTCTAATGGAATTAGCTAAGCATGTTACAGTAAAAAAATATGTTCTTCCATCTTAGTCTGCCATTTGACATTTACTCTAAGAAGTTATAAGTATTTTAGTAGTGCAAGAGGTAGATTTCAGTGGTGTCTATTCTGTGGGATTTTCTGCACTGGCTTGCCCACTCTTCTGCTTAGTGTGCAGTTTAAGGATTGATATGAGAAGAGGGACAGGACAATTATACTTTGAGAAGATCATTATAATTTCTCCAGATCCCTGTATTGTTCAGGCCACTTGAGTGGAGTTGTTTTGAGGCAGGAGAATGCTTTACCACCTAGCACAGTTGAAGCTGAGACAAAGCTTGCACAAGGACATTTCTCAAATTATGCTTGCGGAATGGGTTGTCCAGGCATCTGCAGCCTCAGGGACACTTTTCAAGGCTAAGCCCCAAGGCCTGGCACTGGAGGGATGGGGACACCACACTGTTTGTGCACAAAGAAAAGAGAGGACCAGATCCCTTGTGAAGCCTGGAGGGAAGTCTCCCACTGATCTACTAGTGATCAAGGCCAGGTACAAGTACCATGTTACAAGTACCAATAGACGTGTTACACCTATGTGTCTGTGTGCTGTATGACAGCCATAGGAAGTCCAATAAGTGGAAAATAGTGCCCATCATAAACACACAGAAAATATAATGTAGCTTCCCAGGTTAATAGGAAAGCACTTGAGACTTTGGGGTTTTTGAGGTTTTTAAAAGTATCCCATTGGTAGTTGACCCTGATGCTTCTCTGCTACATGGTTATAACACCAGCTGTGCACCATAAATTACCAGGGCAGTTAACATTCAATTACCTGCTGGAGTTTTGGGGCATTATTCTACTGGACAGGAGAGCCAGCTGGGGATCAGCAGCACTTACTGGTTTAGTAGGAGTATCACACATGCACAGCTCCACTGCTTGCAGAGCCAGTTCCGGTCTGCCAGAGGGTTCTCTGCAGGCTTGGAGGACAAAATTAAGCAGCATACTTAAACTGAGCTCACCAGCTTTAAATGGGGTAATCCTGTTCCTCCTTCCTTCCTATTCCCCCACTCTCCCAGTCTTTCCCACCTTCTTCTGTTTCACCCTGGTAATAACAAAGCCTTAATCTTAAGGAGCCATGCTGGACTCCAGCTGACTACTTACACAGCCCCCTTGGGACCCTCCTTGCTTTCCCAGTATGAGGACTGCAGAGCGGGTACGCTCACATCTGGCATCGTTGGCGTGAAGCCCAAGATGGTAAATCCAGCCAGATCACTGAGCACTGAAGAGAAAAACATGCTTGCTCTGTAGTGGGATAAGTAGGCTTGGTATCTCTGGCCACATGCCAGTTTTGCTAGTGCTGTGTTGTCTCTGGGTAACCCTATCTGGATGTCCCTGTGTCACCCTCTCCAGTACCTGTGTGATATCGTTCCTGCCATTGTCTAGAGTGTTCCAGCCCTTCTGTTTCATCCTGCAGTTTCTTTGAATTGTGTCACTCTTCATTAATAGATAATGTGCCATTTCAAAAGAGGAAAACTCAGTTTTTACTCTGTCCTTATAACTTCTAGTTGGAGTCTTATAGGGTAGAGTACAGTAGATTGTAATCTCCTGGCCTTCAATAGTAAAAGAGTACTATTCATGAATATTTTGTACTATGAAGGGTTCATCACTGAAGAACAACGGAAGAAGCACATGGAGATTCAGGATATTTTTAAAAATAGGACCCCAAAATAGGCAACTGTGAAGTAGGAGTCTGGGTGTGATTTTCATTTAAATAAATTTGTTTTAATGTCAAAATATTTCCAAGCAATATCAGTTTTGTCAAGAAGAGTGACAGACAAAGTAATTGAAGAAGTAGGCACATATCATGCTCTGTGACAAGGGGATTAGGTAATTTCCTAGACTAAGATTCTGACTCATTCCCTGCTTTGCTGTAATCCAAGTGTCAAGGATGGAAGGATTTATAAGTGAGTACCACAAAAGAAACTCGGATGGGGATACTGAAAGACCAATGCCTTATGTGCCTTCTCAAAGTGGAAAAGCACAAGGTTTAATCTGCAAAAAGATGTCTTAGTACACTCTTGACAGAAGAAGAATTTGAAAGGCATTATTTTAACCTCTGAAGAACAAAAATAACAATCATTTTAATACTTAAATGTGGTCACAAACAACTTAGGTCGCACTTCTGGTCCATGCTACTTTTGTCATGGGGTTGCAGTAATGCTCTACTTCAACAAGTGTGGAAACAGTAAAAAAGAAATGATAGCACATGATGTGTACAGCAGAAGGCAAAGGGTGAGCTGGTAGAGAAAGTCTGGAGTCAGACTCTGGTAGGGGCTGGGTTTTTTTCTCAGTCTAGACCTGAAGTTATTTCTACTAGTTTGACGGATCTATCAGCTCCTTGGGGTCTCTCTGAAGCAGTCTGTGGGTCTTGTGGGGTACATTACCAATTGGAGTGCCAGGACTGCCTCTGGTCACAGAACCAGAGCATCTGGGAAGTACCAGTCCTGCCATGCTCAGGGAAGTCTGCAGGGGAGCTGTATGGAGAGAAGATACACACTGGAAAAAGTGCATGAACAACCTGGACAGAAGAGCACCATGGCAGGGCAGAAAGGGCAGTAGGTGAGAGAGTTTAATAGGAGAGAGAAGAAATAGATTATAGAGTGTTTGAGATGGTGATACGATGGCCAAAACGTGTTCCAAGCAAAGCAGTGGATGTGAGTGTGAAAGTCCAAAGAAGCTTTAGGTGCGTACACTGTGTCACAGGGCTTGAGGCTGAGAACAGCACGACAGGTGACCACCTGTCTCCAAAGCAACAATCTAAGAAGACTCTCTGCAGCTGCTCCCAAAGTTTGGGGCTGCCTGTACTCAAAAGGGGGGTCCCAACATGCCCTAGGCACCTCCAGCTCTGCTTTGCTTCTTGGCCAGAAGCACCACAGCCCACATGGCTCTGTGTCTGGGTCCTGGGAAGGGCGGGATACAGGAAGCTGGCAGCTCTCAGCCCCACTCCCTCCGGGCCCATCCCACTGCCTGTTCCCAGAGCGCACCTAACGCCCACGGATGGCATTTGGCTGCCTGCAGAGCTTGGCAAGGGCCAAGCTCTTTGAAAACAGACCTTGGTTATGATGGAGAAGGCAATGGGGATGGCACTACTGTCTGGGTTTTTTTTTAGTTAATGGCTCACAGTGGTTAGGGTGCTTGCTGGTAGTTAGGGAAGCCTCAGTACTAGGTCTTCTCAGTCTGGAGAAGCTCGAGTGTATGTTTGCCAAGAGAGCAGGCTAACAAGCAGGCCAGCTGTGGGAGGGGAAGAAGCTTGGAGCTTGTTGTTGAAGCAGGATAATTTATTATCCTGGCAGAATAAATTATCTTGGCGGAATAAATTATATATGAGTCAAAGGGCCAGGAAGGGAGCAATGAGGGGCAATGTGACAGCAGCCTGGGGGCTACAGCAGAGCTGGGAAGGGAATAAAGCTTGGCATATCCCCATCTCCATATCTGTTTCTCCATCTGAGCCCATGCAAAAGACAGTCCAGAACCAGATGTGAAGACTGCTGTTCTTAGAAGGAGATATTAACCTTTCATCACAGGCCTAGGCTCCTTTGTGTCCCTGAGTCTGTCTTCAGAATCATTTCTTGGTGGTTGTCTTGTACTTGGTTGGATCCACTCGGGTCACTGAGGATAGCCATTTCTTGGGCAACTGCTTAAGACAGCATGATATCATATAGTACTGGCATCATCACTGTCACAAGTTTTAAAAGTAACTGCAATCCTTTGTTTTTCCTTTTTGTGGGTTACAGGGCTTTTTTTTGGGAGATACTTGTTGGCGAGGGGTTCCAAATAAACAAATATTCCTAACTGCATTTCTCCATGAGCATCCCAGACTCTGGACAGTGGTTCACAGAAGCACAGGATAATGTAGGTCAGAAGAGACTGCTGGATGTCATCCAATCCAACCTCTTCCTCAAACTATGGTCAAGTACAACAAACTTCTCAAGGCCATGCAAAGCTGAGCTTTGAATATCTGCAAGAATTGAGACTCCACAACCTCACTGGGCAACCTCTTCCAGTGTAGGATTAGCCCCACTGTGAACATTTTTGTCCTTGTATCTAGACAGAATTTCCTGTGCTGCAACTTGTGATGATTGCCATTGTCCTCCCACTGCGCACCTCTGAGGAAAGTCTGGCACTGGCCTACCTTAGGTAGCTGATGGCAGGAATTAGGCGCCTCCTTGCCAGGGTTTTGCACTGGCAGAGCTCCCTGCTCAGCCTTGCCATTCAGAGGTGCCTCACCCTCCCTGCAAGGTGCAGTTTGCCAGCTAGCACAGCATCCAGCTGTTGGTCTCACAGGACACTGCTGTAAGTCTGTGCTGGATTTGGCACTGTCATGGGCTAATTATATCATACGCCACTAAATTTTCACCTATGATCTCTGTTCCCTTGCAGTTTCCCCAATTCCTGTCTAAATTTGCAACATTACATGAGTAAAGAATCATATTCAGTGTGGCCAGTTATTATTTTATATTGAATGAAGCAGATGCTGTCAAACAATTGAAAATCATCCTCAACACCATAAATGTTTTCAAATATAAGCAGATACTAAGGAATGAATGTACGGGAAAA